ATCTGAACTCAGATCCTCGTGCTTTTGTAGCAAGCATTTTACCCACTGAGCCTTATCCCTGGCCCCCAACCAATTTTTATCGTCAATTGTGCTATTGTATATTTTGTACTCATTAAAAATAAATAAATAAAAAAAACAAATACTGAGAAACAAACAGAGAAGTGAACATGTGTGGTTTTTTAAAATGAGTTCTATTTTTTTTTTTGGTCTTTTTGAGACAGGGTCTCTCTTTAGCCCCAGCTGGCCTGGAACTCACTCTGTAGAACAGGCTGGCCTGGAACTCTGCCTCTGCCTCCTAAGTGCTGGGATTCAACATGTGTGCCACCATGCCCAGCCCTTAGCAAGTATGTATATCCCCCCCCCCAGCTGTTTTTGAGACGGGGTCTCTCTGTAGTGAGGGCTGGCCTGGAACTCACTGTGTAAACCAGGCTGGCCTTGAACTCACAGAGCTCCACCTGTCTCTGCCTCTACTACAGGCATGAGCCACCACGCCCAGCTAGCAAGTATATTTTAAATTGCTGACCCCTAGTATGTTAGCAAACTTTAATCTTTGGATAGTGTGAAATGCCACATTGGTGTTTTAATCTTCCATTTCACATGTAAGTGGCATTGGTTATCTTTTTATGTTTTTCCATACAGAAACCTTTTTGATAAGCACATATTATCTATTCTTTCTAAACTCTAATAGCAACTTAAAATCTTTAACACTTTCTATAGCTATTATATCCATTCTGGTTTATACTGAGTAGTAATTGTTTCTTGTTAGTCTTTTTCGTCTAAGGGTTTCTGAGAAGATACTTGTTTTTTGTACAACCATGACACCTAGTGACACATAGATATACTATTTTGTATTAAAGTGTATCCTGGAAGTAGAGAAATAGCCTTTTAGGTTTGGAGTTCCATTGTAATTCATTGTGAGATGAAGCTTTCGTGAAAATTTAAATTGCTTTTGCTCTGCTTATTACAGAAAGTTCAGGTAGTATAGAAAATGTAAGTATTTAAGTCTTTAACACTAAGAATAACTATTACCAACTTCAGGGGTTTGTCCATGTTGGCATTTTTCTATATAGAGAAAGGTTGAGGGGCAGGTGGTTGGGCATGTAGAAAATTTCATAAAATAGGATTGCATCATATATACAATTTAAACATAAGTGATAGTAGACTTGGCACTGGGGATGCAGCTCAGGCCCTGTTATGCCCAAGGCCCTGGGCTCAGTCCCCTGCAGCAAAAAAAGAAGATAATAACAGAACTGATCCTACTCTAATTGACAGTTGAAGTGAAACTGTAAAGTTACTGCTTCCTTTAAGGCTAAAAAGAAAATAATTTTAAAAATTGAGATTAAGGATTTAAGTTTTTTGTTACTAATTTTACTTGCAAAAGGGTTTTTTGGTTGTTAACTGTAATCAAATTGAAGAGAGTTCATGCTTGTTCCCATTTTAAATCTTTTTTTAAATTTTTTATTTTTATATTATGTGTATAAGTGTATTACCTGCACATGTGTAAGTGCACCTGTGTCGTGCAATGCCTGCAGAGGTCAGAAGGTATCAGTTCCCCTGGAACTGGAGTACAGATAGTTGTTAGCTGTCATGTGGGTGCTGGGAATTGAACCTGGGCCTTCTATAAAAGCAGTCAGTACTTCTAACTGCTGGGCCATCTCTTCAGCCCCAGATAGCTCCAATTTTAAAAAATCAAATACAATAAACTAGATAATATTCTTTTGTGTCTTGCTCTGTTTCTAGATTGTTAACCTAAGTGTAGAATCCCACTCTCCTGAAAGGACCTTCCTCAGATGGTGTAATTTGAGTCTCAGTCACTGGTGAGGAAGCCTTAGGGGATGTGATAGCCTCTGCTTCCCGAGAAGCCTCCATGAGGAATCTTGGATGCTATGAATTCAGGCAGAAAGAAAATTATGGCTGACTTTTATCTTTAGGTGATAATTTTTTCTCTAATTTTTCTGTAGACTTAAATATATATATATATAATTTTTATTTTATGTGTATGAGTGTATTGCCTGGATGTGTATAAGTGCACCTGTATTATGCACTGCCCACAGAGGCCAGGGGAAGGCATCAGATCCCCTGGAATGGGAGTTGTGGACAGTGGTTAGCCACCAAATGGGTGCTGGGAACCAATCCTGGGTCCTCTGGAAGTGCTCTTAACTGCTAAGCCATCTTTCCAGCCCCATAAAGAAATAGATTTTTTAAAAAGATAGCTGTAGTCCCTTCCTGTGAGCCAGAATTGTGGTCCCCTCCTGTGAGGTGAAGCTTTGATCCCCTCCTTTGTACCTGGAACTGTGGTGTGGGTGCCTCTTATGAATCTGGAGCTGTGGTACTTTCCCTTGAACTAGAGCTGTGGACGTCTCCTATGGGCCAGAATTGTGGTCCCCTCCCATAAGCTGGACCTGTGGTTTCCTCCCATGAATAGGAGTTGTTAGTCCCTTCTCTAATTTGGAGTTGTGGTCCCCTGCTGTGAGCTGGAACTGTGGCCTCTTCCTATAAACCTGAAACTGTGGTCTCCTCCTAGGAGCCTAGAGCTATTGCCCCCAGCATTGAACCATGGTTCCACATTCCTCCAGTGGAGAATGGAGGCAGTAGTTCAGCCTTCTTTGAGTGGGTGCAACCCTACAGCCCACTCCCCCGAGGCTCCCCAGAGGTCCCAAGTTGTACAAGGCAGTGTTTTTGCCTCTGTGTTAGAATTATGCTGGGGCAGGGGAGGTTTCTGTCATTTGCAGTTTCTAATCTTGGGGGGAGGACTGATTCTCAAGAATGAACTTCCACCTCTCTTGATGGCCAGCTGTTGACTTGACTCCACACATGGTCTGGGCACTAAGGTCCTGAAGTTGGACCTTTCTCACTCTCAGGCACCAAGAGGTTTTCCGTCTTTTTTTTTTTTTTCTTTTTCTTTTTTGAGACCAGGTCTCCCTGTAGCCTGAGATGACCTGGAGCTCACTTTGTAGACCAGGCTGGCCTGGAACTCACAAAGATCCACCTGCCTCTGCCTCCCAAGTGCTGGGATTAAAAGTGTGCGCCACCACGCCTAGCTTCCATCATTTTTCTGTTACTCTTCTACAGTCTGAGTATGCCTTCACCTGTGCCCTATAGGAAATGTAAATCACCTAACTGAACTCTATAGATTAAAAAATATATATATTTTAAAAAGAACATTAAACAAGAAGTTGGGAGGATGAAGGGTAAATGTATTAAAAATACATTGTATGTAAAAAATTAAAGAAAAACAGATAGCTAGATTTCTCTAAAAAATAAGTTCACAAAAAAACAGAGCTTGGCTAAAACAGGAATTTTGCCAATATTCCTACCTTCCTGTTTTCCAAAAAAATGTCCAGAAATCTTCGCTTAGGTTCCAGATTTTTTTCTCACTCCTCATGTGAAGGGAGACTGACTGCATGACGATATTGACTCCTGATCTAACAGAACTGGTGGCATGATCATACCAGAGGCTTCAGACTACTTGGAGAGAGTCCTAAACATTTTCTGTAGCCCATATTTTATTTGTGTTTTAAGTGTCCTTTTGATGGAATACTACGAACTCATCAAGAAAAATAATAAAAGCTCTGGTGGAACGAAGTACAAGGCGTACATAAAGAGAGGAGAGCAGCATGTTAAAGTGTGCATGTCTTGTACTTCCATTCTTAGGAGGAGGAAGAGAAGCACAGTAAATATGTCTGCTTATATGTGCTTAGAGCATCACTAGACCTAACATACAATAGCACATTTCCTTGGTTGTCTCCAGAGTAGACCACGTGGTGGCTAGAGTACAGACATCTGAGAGGTGTGTGTGTGTGTGTGTGCGTGCGTGCGTGTGTGTGTGTGTGTGTGTGCGCGCGTGCATGCGTGTGTGCGTGCGTGCGTGCGTGCGTGCGTGTGTGTGTGTGTGTGTGTGTACGTGTGTGTGTGTGTGGTCATGTACATGCCATAGTGTGCATGTGGAGGTCAAAGGATAACCTGAGGTAGCAGGTTCTGCCCTTCCATCATGTGGATTCTGGAATTCGACTTGGGTCCCAAGGCTTGTGACCTTTGCCTGTTGAACCATCTTGCCAGCCCTAAGAGATTTTCCTAAGGAAGACCTGTTGAATTTTAAGAATGGTAATAAATATCCAACCTAAAAAAAAAAAATGCTTTGCAGGCCAAATAAAAGACAAGAAGCATTGCATTCTGTAATGTAGTCCACAGTTTCTAAACCAATGGCAATCACTTGACTGCTTCTAGCTATTTCTCTGTGAAAGGGGTTATTCACTAAATGTCCTCACACTGAGCTATTACTGGAGCGACTCTTGTGTGGTGGTTCTTTGATGTGATGTTTAGCTTGTTTATGGTAAAGTGGTTTTGTATTAATATTAAAAATGGATTTGTTTATAGTAAGGTTTTGTTTATATGGAATATTATAAAATTCCATAAAAGAATTGGGAATATTTTTTATTTAAAAAATATATTATTTTTTAATTTTATGTGTATGAGTGTTTTGCCTGCATGTATGTAAGTCCTCAGAGGTCAGAAGATGGTGAAGAGGGTATCAGATCCCTTAGAACTGGAGTTACAGATGGTTATTAGCAGCTATGTGGGTTATGGGAACTGAACCCAGGTCCTCTGCAAGAGCAGCCAGTACACTTAACTGCTGAACTCTCTATCCAGCCCTTCCTTCCCTTCCTTTCTTCCTTCCCTCCTTCCTTCCTTTCTTCCTTCTTTCCTTCCTCCCTCCCTCCCTCCCTCCCTCCGTCCGTCCTTCCTTCCTTCTTATCCCTCAAGGTATGAACGCAGAGTAGAAATACTCCTTGATAGGTGGACATGGTGGCGCATGCCTTTAATCCCAGCACTTGGGAGGCGGATGCAGGTGGATCTAGGTTAGCCTGGTTTATATAGAGAGGCCACAGGCCAGTTGGGGCTACAGGGAGACCCTGTCTCAAAAAACAAAACAAAACAAAGCAACAAAGAAATGCTCTTTAATAATTTTGCAGTGATGGTAATTGTGTTTTTATGCATAGGAAGAAGAAGGAAATACTTCTAAAACACAGAAAAATTCCTGGCTTCAAGAGTCTGTTTTGTCGTTATCTCCAACTAATGATCTTATGGTTATAGCTCGGGAGCAAAAAGCTGTGTTTCTTGTGCGTAAGTATTCTGTTATTTTCTGCTGCTTGTTTTTAATGCATAGATTAGAACAGAAAATGGACTATTTGGAAACAGTGTTATTTCTATTCCATATATTATATGGTGACAGCTATAATTTATATAGTGCATGTAATATATGAATAGAATATTTCCTTTTGGTGTGTGAATGTATTTATGTGTGTGCACATGTCTGTGCAGGTGCACATACACTTGTGTATGGAGTGTGGAGACCATAAGTTGGCATTGGGTGTCTTCCTCTACTGCTCTCCACCTTATTTTTTTATTTATTTACTTTTTGGTGTTTTTTTTTTTTTCTTTTTAAATTTTATTTTATGTGTATGAGTGTATTGTCTGCATGTATGTAAGTGCACCCGTGTCATGCAAAACTCATGGAGGCCAGAAGAGGGTGTTGGATCCCCTGGCACTGGGGTTACAGACATTTGTTAGTCACCATGTGGGTGCTGGGAATTGAACCCAGGTCCTCTGGAAGAGCAGCCAGTGCTTTAACTGCTGAGCCATCTCTCCAGCCCTATCCACTGTATTTTTTTTTTTTTTTTTGGCGACAGAGTCTCTCACAGAACTTAGAGCTCAAACTGACTGGCCAGGAAACCCTTGGAACCCTCCTATGTTCAGTTCATCAGTGATGAGTTTACAGGTCTGTGCTGTGCCTGGCCTTTTATTTTTGTTGTTGTTTTAATGTGGATGCTGGGGATGGAGCTCATGTCTTCCTGCTTGGCATAGGCATCTCCCTGGGCCCAGAACGCTTCCTTTTTACTGTCTGTGTTACCACTTTTTCTCTAGTTGTCTTTGTGTGACACTTCCAAGGCAGCACTGACCATCACCTATTCTTGCAGGCACTTCTCAGTGCTGAAGGGTCGTAGACCCCTTCTTAGTAACATTGGGGGAGGCACAGCTTTCAGCTATGATTTGAAAACTCACAGTACAGTAAATTTTTATTTGGTGTATAAGTTTTCAGTTCATAAAACTTTTGTTATTTATATATTATGTGTATGAGTGCTTTGCCAGCATGTGTGTAAGTGCACTGTGTTGTGCAATGCTCACAGAGGCCAGGATCACCTGGAGTTACGGGTTTTTGTTAGCTGCCATATGGGTTCTGGGAACCAAACCCAGATCCTCTGCAAGAGCAGCCAGTGCTCTTAACCACTGAGCCATCTCTTCAGCCCCCACTAATAAAATAGTTGTTGAAGATTAAATATTAAGATTTGGCTATATAGGGAATATGAAAATCCTCACAGAACAAAGTAAGATTATATATAAAATGACTATAGAATATTCTTGCAAAGCAGTTCATCCACATTGTGTAAATCTCATGTAAAAAAATGTCCTCTGCCACTTGAAGATGAAAGTAGTCTTAGAAATAAAATTGGTAGGTGATATATGAGAAATGTTAACTTAATTTTTCAAGAACTCTAAATAAGTAGTATATTATGGATTTAATTGGTGGAGGGAAGGAGAGAGAGACAGAGACAGAGAGAGAGACAGAGACACTAAAGACTAGGAAACCAGGCGGTCTTATGGCATTATCTTATGTTTACCTATAGTAAAGATCCAATCACTTAATGCAGGATAATTACATTTTGTATTCATCTTTGTATATGTGTGTGTGTGTATGTGTATATGTGTATGACTGTTAGGCCTGCAAGTATGTAAGTATACCCGTATCATGCAATGCCTGTGGAGGTCAAAGGAGGGCATTGGATCCCCTGGAACTGGAGTAGGAATAGTTGTTAACTGCCATGTGGGTGCTGGGAATCAAATCCAGGTCCTCTGCAAGGGCAGCTAGTGGTCTTAATAACCACTAAGCCTTCTCTACATCCCCTCTATTCATCTGTTTAAACGGGAAAGAACAAAATTTATAAGTAAGTTACTGCTTTTATTTTATTTTTTCAGCAAAATGGAAACATAGTGATAAAGGGAAGGAGGAGATGCAGTTCGCTGTTGGTTGGAGTGGCTCCTTAAATGTGGAAGAAGGGTAGGTGCAGCTCAGCTCACCGTTTTGTTTCTCTGTGTGTTGAGTGTGTGAAGTAGATTGGTTTGTGATATATCTGTTAGGTCTCATTACTTGTGGGTGGAAATGCACTTCAGCTTTACTGGCTGTAGGGAATAATTTGGCCAGCAAATTTTATTGATCAGTTTTTTTAAGCTCTGGTCTGAAGAGTTAAGGAAGAGTTTTAGAAGCTCATAGAGTCCTGTTTACATTTTGTCTTTCCTCTTTGTCCTCCATTGCTAATTTTATTTATCCAGAAAAATCAAGGACAGCCATCACCTGGACTTTACATGTCCTGGGCTTTACTTGGAGGTAATAGTGTTACTTTCATTCTTAAACTCATAAATGCAAATTGGTATATTTAAGCTTCCTGCTGACCTAGTAAACTTGAAAACCATGATCTCTAGGGTGATTGCATAATGGAGCTGATAGCCTGAAGCTTATTACAGTTGTTAGGTCTGAAAACATATCAGAATGAACAAGAGTGTTCTGACTCTTCAGTTCAGGTGAAAGATAATCAAATTGGAAGTGCCTCATACATGCCTAACACATTGTACATACTCTGCGAAATATTCTTATGTTATTATAAAAGGGAATAGCTCTTATTTAGTCTAAGACATTTAATTTGTCAGAAATAGAAAGCAAAGATATTACTGGAAAACAATAAGCAAAAATTAATTTTGCTTATGATGGAGCAGCATGCATGTAGGTTTGAACATCTTGCAGTGCTCCCCAGGTTTGTCAGGTTAAGCAAAAGTCAGTCAGTACAAGGTATTTTAATTTCAAATCTGACACTATTTCAAGTTTACATGTCAGGAGGCAAAAAAAAAAAATCATTCTTAGGAAACATCAATGTGTACTTAGAGATAGGTATTAGGATCAATGTGTACAAGTGTAGAAGAGACAAACCATTTGAACTGCAGAAAGTCCTTTAAGCAATATACCTCCCAGAAGCCCAACTCTAATTAATGTGTGTGTGTGGATTCCTCCTTCACTCTGCCCTGCACCAACCTCAAACAAGGAGGCAGACTAAAGTTTTTACCTGATGCTGAAGATGGAGCTGGTGGGAAATGGCTGCCCTGGTGATCATTTGAGATTTTCTAGGTTCTCCTTGCAGTGAGTTGTGTAAAGTTTTAGTTTGTTTCATGGCAATACAGACTGAAAAAACACTGGTTCTTAGTCAAATGAATGTGATGTTACACATGTGTATGAAATTTATTGTATTTTTAGATATTTGTCAAAAACTGAAGCAATATCATCTTCCACTTACTACTTTGTTTGTTTGTTTGTTTGTTTATGTGTATGAGTGTATTGTCTGCATGTATGTGAGTGCACCCATGTCGTGCAATGCCACGGAGGTCAGAAGAGGGCTTCGGATTCCCCTGGAACTGGAGTTAAGGACAGTTTGTAGCCACCATGTGGGTGCTGGGGATCGAACCTGGGTCCTCTGCAAGAGCAATCAGTGCTCTTAATCGCCGAGCCATCTCTCCAGCCCTACCACTTACTACTTTTTAACAAATTACAGGGAAATAAAAGTAATTGCTAGACCAGGTGTGGTGGTACATGCCTTTAATCCAAGCACTTTAATCCTAGCAGAGGCAGGTGGATGTCTGTGAGTTCGAGGCCAATCTGCCCTACATAGTGAGTTACAGGACAGCTGGGGCTACAGGGAGACCCTGTCTCAAAAAGACCAAAATAATAATAATAATAATAATAATAATAATTGCTAAGTTCAATAATAAGCACATGATTTTGTTTCTGTTTTTAGGGAATGTGTAACTAGTGCTCTGTGTATCCCACTAGCAAGTCAGAAGAGGTAAGCATAAGTCATTTATCTCTTTTCTCTGCTTGGGTGGCTGAGGTATTAAGATCATGAATTTTATTTGTAACAGGAGTTCCACTGGGCGTCCTGACTGGACCTGCATTGTGGTGGGGTTCACTTCAGGTTACGTACGGTTCTACACTGAGGTGAGTTGGGTTTCCAGCATTAGAGAACACTTACTACAGTACTGTCAGGCATCCCACTATACTACTTTGTGAGTGCATTCTATGTGTTTGCATTACACAAAGGGCAGGAGGAAATTGAAGAGGATAGTGATGTGAATGCTTGGAAATAAGGAGTTGATGCTTTGGGGGCTGGAAGGCAGGACAGGTGGAGGAGCCTTCTGGTAGAAGAAACAGATGAGTGTCTGTGGTCTTCTGAAAAGACAGAACTGGTATCCATGGGAAGCTGTTGGGGAAATGTACTGTGTGCCTTACTGTTCCGGTTCGGTGATTGATGAGAAAACCAGCAGTCCCTTCTCTGCTTCCTCCTAGAGTGGTGTGCTTTTGCTTGCACAACTTTTGAATGAAGGCCCAGTGCTTCAGCTTAAGTGCAGAACCTACGAGATCCCTCGACATCCCGGCGTGACAGAGCAGGTAATGTAACAAGTTATGCTCAGAGTCATATGGCATTACTTTGAAGCAGTTTCTTTTTGCTTTTTTTGCCTGGAAACTTAAAAGTTTTTTTTTTTCTTTTCTTGTGGCAGTTAGCTGTGCCATCATAGTCTAGAAATGTAATTTGTAGCTAAATAGAGAATACCAATCCTTATATTTTATAAATGAAATATTGTGCTAATTGATTTAAGGTGAAAATATTAATATTAATGTAACTTTATATCTTCTAAATTTAAATTCTGTTATCTAAAATACATGTAGTAAAAGAAAAGTTCCAGCCTCATAGTCAGAATATAATTATAGAGCTAACTTTGACCAATAAGCTTTTATTTGGTTTTTAATGTATAGGGTTAAAATTATATAATGTACCTTTTTTAATTACTTGGTTCCAAAAGATTCCAAGTAAACAGATATGTATATTGTATGCATAGACTCAAATTGCATAATAGGTGGACAGAGTTATAGATAAAGCAATCCAGAAGGAGAAACTAGGTTAATATCTATCAGTAACTGTCAATAAATTAACCAATAACATAAATAACTAATAAATATATATGTTCAAGATAAACCCTCTGCAAGTTTAGAGACAAGAAGGGCTCAATTAGGACCATGTCAGAAAGAAGAAATTTCATTGAGGTGAAATTTGATTTATGCCCTGAATAATGGGCATGCAGTTTAGTTAATGGGAATAAAGTCATTAGGAGAAAAATGAGGGAAGATTCAAATGTAGGACTTTGTGTGAAATAGCAGAGAAACCCATTAGAAAACAGTGAGAAACTGATTGAAGGACAGAGTGATCGCAAACATAAAAGCTAAGTACAGATGAGAACTGACTTAGGGCGAGAGAAGCTCCAGAAAGAGGAGGTGGTGCAGGTGGGGCTACTGAAGAGCTCTCTCTTCAGGACATGTTGTCTTGAGAGACTGGAGTCAGGGAAGCTGGCTATAGGGAGTGCTGTTTGTTTGGGGTTTGCTATCTTACTGTAGAACTCGAGCTGTCCTAGACCTCACACTCTTACCTCTGCCTCTCTAGTGCTGTGATTATCAATGTGTGCCATCATGCACACAGGTTTGAAATTGGACTTTTTTAAATTGGAGTTTTAAAAATTCAGCAGAACCATACCATTGGCCCAGATAAACCAATTTATTTTTACTCTTATGGTCATTTGAGGATCTGTTCCTCAGGGGTCACATGGGCTTGGGAGGAGCCCCTGGCTCTTTTTTTTTTACCAGTTCCATCTATGAAGATAAGTCAAAAGTCCGGGTGGCCCAAGAGACTCCCAGATAGCAACCCGGCATAGAACTTGGAAAATGAACAGCAGACCTCAATCTTATCTAAAGGAATGTTGGCAACTGATTGCTGCTAGATGAGGAAGAGCTGATCTTCCTAAAACAAGGGACCCTAGACAGGCTGACTAGACTCAGCAGATGGACTTGCACTGGGGAACGACTGGGGGCACTGATCACACAGTGGACAGGAACAGGGATGACAGAGTACATGGGCTCCAGGGCGGGGGAGGGAGCAGGGAGACTATGGGAGGGTGCCATTTGGGATGTGGGTATATAGATGAATAAGATTGTGTGAGATGCTCTCTATGAAATACACACACACACACACACACACACACACACACACACACACAAATTAGGCAGGAAATAATGAGTTCCAGGCCATTCTAGACCAAATAATTTAAGACTTAACTGAGCCACATAGTGAGACTCTGGCTCAGAAAACCAACAGCAAGGGATGTAGCTAATTGTAGTGTACTTGCTTACATTGTGCAAGGCCCTGGAGTCAATACGCAGTAGCCCCACACACAGAATAATATGTATGAAGATTGTGCATGCTTCATGACCCAACACTCACTTGAAGGAATTTGTGTATAAGTAATATCATACTAATGTAAAAAGATACAGAAGAATATTTATTGCAGTGGTATTTAGAACAGTGAAAATACATTAATTCGGGACTGGAGAAATGGCTAAGTGGTTAAGAGCACTGGCTTCTCTTGTAGAGGACCTGGATTTAGTTCCCAGAACCCATATGTTGGCTAACAACTGTCCATAACTCCAGTTCTGGGGAATATGGCACCCACTTCGGGCTTCCAGAGGTATTGTACAACACAGGTTCACTTACATGCAGGCAAAATACTCATATACATAAAATAAAATTTTTAAAAGAAAATACATTAACTCATTTACAGATATTTGTTGTCTATTTTGTTACCCAGTCCACCTGATCATTGAGGGTTCATTGGTGAGGAAAATGGAAGGCTTTCACAGAGCTCACGGTTGGGGGGCAGTGGAGGCAGACCCACAGTAAACAGCCAGAGAGTTATCAAAGTGACTCTAGTCTCTTCTGGGTGCTGTGAAGAAAGTCATCATGTTGCTGAGATGGTTATGTGGCAAGAGACCAGTGATGCTATTTGAGATAGAGTCTCTGGAGCAGCCTTGCTGAGTAACTAACCTTGAGCACAGACTTGAGTGATTAGGTGAAGATCTAGGAGGAGATCAGGAAGATGGAAAATGAGGTCATGTTGACCTTGTTTGAGGATCAAGGACAGAGAGATCTGTGTCATAGGCATGGTTCGTGAGCTCAGGTTTTATTCTAAACAGAGAAGGAACCCATCAGAGTGATTTGCTCTTTTTGTCTGATGAAGTGGTTCTGGTTGTAGAAGGCTAGAGTGGAAGTCAGAAACCAGAATGAATGTCCATCAGTAGGAACTGGTTGAGTAAATTTGGGTACACAGCTAGGTGCAGTGGTGTTAGCCTACAGTCCCAGTTACTTGGGAAGCGGAGACAGGAAAATTGTTTGTGCCAGAAATAGTCATAACAAAAAATAAAATAAAACAAAATTTGCATACTTGCTAAATTGGAATAAATAGGATTGGGATGTAGCTTGGTCAACCAAACACCTGCCTAGTATATACAAGGCCCTGAATTCAATCCTCAGCACTGCAAAAGTAGTAATAGCAATGACATAGATTACATAAATAAAATGTAGCATTGATTACTGAAGGCATCATATACAGTACTATGCGGTAAGCCTTATACAAGATGGGCGTGAATTTATTTGAGAACGACTATTGGGGCATGCTTGTGATTTCAGGTGAGCTTTCTTTCTGTTTTTATACATTACTTATCTATATAACAACTTTTCTGTGAAATGGAACAAAACATTCTCTACCACATACAAAAGCTCATATTTGAGAGGAAGTTAAAGTCTTCAGCCAGAAGCCTTTCCAAAATTAGTTTCCATGACTTACTGTTCTTCCTGATCTGCTTTGTGGATTGGCTACTTGACCGTTTGGTCACAGTAGTAATTATATGTTTTCATGACATTCAGGTGTTTTTAAAAAGGGCATTTATTACCACACTTATGCTCTAACTTTTATGTTTTTCCTTTCTTTCTAAATAGAATGAGGAATTGAGTATCTTGTACCCAGCTGCCATCGTAACTATTGATGGATTTAGCCTTTTTCAGTCTCTTCGTGCTTGTCGAAACCAGGTGGCCAAAGGTAATTTTTGGCAAGAAATATTTAACTTCTGATGATGGTCGTTTTATTTGATGTGAGGTCCTTGCAAAATAAACATATCTTCTACATGGAAAGGACTTGAGGTCTTGATTTAAGAAAACCACGTGCTCCTGTGTAGGTAATAGGAGTGCACTGGTGGGTGGATTGCTTATAAGAGGAAAGTGGGGCTGGAACTCCAGTGCTGCTAGGATGTCAGTGGAATGTGGCAACCAGGGAGCAGCACACCTACCTCAGCAGCATGTCTTGTAGGGGAGAGATTCCGCCATATGGACAGTCAGTACTAGGTGAGGGTTCTGGTCAGCGTACAGACCTATGAGCAGCCATAGGACCCGTGTGCTAAAGCCCTGATTCCATTGCTGCTGACCTCACTGAGAATAAAAAGGGGTCAGCATGTGCAGACATATATCACACAGCAGAGAGGGCCTAGCAGAAAGTCAGCATCAGCCTCTATTTGGAACACTTTTAAATGAAGAAATGCTAGAAATCTAAACTTAATGTATGTGGGCCTCATTATTAGGACGAAAACTGCATAGATGATCAGGATCCTGTGATCATCTTGTGTGCATGTGAATTAGGGGTCGGTGTCAGTGTCTTCCTCCATCACTCTCCACCTACTGTATTTTGAGACAAGATTTATCACTGAGCCTGGAGCTCATTGATTCAGCAAGATCAGCTGGCCAGTGAGCCCCAGGGATCTGCCTGTCTGCGCCTCTCCAGCACTAGGATTACAGGTGTAAGGCCACCACACTCTGCTTTTTACATGGGCACTGGGGATCCAGAATCAGGTCCACATGCATCTGTGGCAAGCATTTTATTGATGGCACCAACTCTCAAACCCTGGAGAAAAAATTCTTTAGGGTATGTTTGCTACTTCACAAAAAATAGTTTATCTAAATTTACTTAAAATACAAAATAAGCAGCTTCTCAAGGAAGACTATACCTTCTTAACATATGCTGAGACAGAAAATTTTTCTTAGCTGACTATGATTGATAAAATTCTCAAGTCTAGTATAAGGTTCTTTTCAATAGTACATACTTTTTTCTTAAGTCAGAATATTCTTGAATTTTTGTACCTATTTCATTTTTTAAATTTATTTAAATTTAGCCCACTATAACATCATTATTTTGTAAAATAGTCACCATTATTGAGAGGCCAGTTGGAGTTACTAGAAACTAAAAGAAACCAAAAAGTCATTATTAAGGGGCTGGAGCAATGACTCGGGTTAAGAGCACTGGCTACCCTTGTGAAGGACTGGGATTCAGTTTCTAGCACCCACATGACAACTAGCAACTGTCTGTAACTCTAGTTCTAGGGGATCTGACTCCTTCTTCTGGCCTCCAGGAACACTGAATGCAGGTGGTATGCTTACATACATGCAGGCAAAACACTCTGCCTCTACCTCCCCAGTGCTGGGATAAAGGTCTTTGCTACCATGTGGGCAGTGGTGACAGGAAGGAAAGAAGGGAGGGAGGGAGGGAGGGAGGTTGGTTCTTATTTTATGTGTATTATGTGGGGGTTTTTGTTTGTTTTGAGACAGGGTCTCATTGTGTAGCCTTGGCTGGTCTGAAACTTGCTACGTAGACCAGTCTGGCCTCAAATGCAAGGCGATCCGCCTACCTGTGCCTTCCCAGTACTGGGATTAAAGGCCTGTGCCACCATGCATTTTTTTTTTTTATCATATTTAGTTCCTGCTTATTTCTTGCATATAAAGTTATTTGCCTCCTAGGAGGTAAAAAGCTAAGCCACGTAGGGCTGGGAGGAGTTTCTGTCATTAAAGTTCCTGCTGCACATGCATGAGGACCTGAGCTGGGACCCTAGCACCCACATGAAAATGGCCTGTGTACACCTATGATCCTCAGACTGGGGAGGGAGACAGGAGGATCCCTGGAGCTTATTGGCCAGACAGTCTAGATGAGATGGGTTAGCTCCAGGTTCAGTGAGAGACTGTCTCCAAAAATAAGGCAGAGAGAATCAACAAAGAAACCTAGCAGTAACCTTGGGCCTCCGTGTACACCTGCATACACCACACACAAAATTTAAAAAGATAATTCAGCCACTTAGCGCCCTCTTGTTTAAGTTGTTAAAAGACTTCTGGTTACTTAGCCACAAATTGTTTTGGCATTTAGTTCAACTTTTAGGAAACCTCTTTTGTTATCCCTCTTCTCAAATCCACAGTGTTTAGAGGGTTATAAAGCCAGAGGGGACTGGAGAGATGGCTTAGCAGTTAAGAGAGTGTATCAGTTAAACACCTGATTCCCAGCACCCAGCTGCCTGAAAATACCTATAACTCTGGCTCCAGGAAAGACAATGCCTCTGGCCTCTGTGAGCACTCATGTGCACATACCCACTGCAAAAAACACACACATAATTTAAAATAGACAGAATTCAGCAGTGTGCTGGTGTGTATGAGCTCGGGACAAGGGCAGTTAACTGTTGCTTTTTCATTGCTTACTAGGTGGAGAGACAGGTTAAAGATGACATTTCATTTTTTTATATTTTATTTATTTTATGTGTATGAGTATATTGCTGCATGTATGTAAGTGCATCCATGTCATCCCATGCCTGTGAAAGTCCGAAGAAGGCATTTGAATCCCCTGGAATTACAGTTACAGATGGTTGTTAGCCACCATGTGGGTGCTGGAAATTGAACCCAGATCCTCTGTAAGAGCAGTAGTGCTCTAACCGCTGACCCATCTCTCCAGCCCCAACATTTTATTTTTTTGAACAGTGCTGTTGCTATTAGCATTTCTACCATGTCCGGCATGAATTGCCTCAGGTCTTATTAATTTTTCGCTTAGTAAAGCACAAGCTGCTATTCCTAAGATGTCTCTACTTTCTCACATAGGGAAAATGTGCTTGCGTGGATCAAAGGCAGTTTGAATTCACCTTGATCATTAGTGGACTAGGATTCCCAATATTCTTAATTGTTAGTATCTGGAATCTCTTGCTGCAGTGACATAGCCCATTTTGTGTGTGATTATACTTATTTTAGTGCTACATTGAAAGTGAAAACAAATATGCAACTTCCTAAGGTTGTGAAGTGGTCTACCCACCTAGTTAGGTTGTCTTGCCCCACAGCAGGTGACAGGATCACACACATAAGGCCAGTAACAGTGTCTGCTCTGGAATTCACATACCTGTGAGACGTTTAAGACCAAATTTCAGAAACGTTGGCTACTGCTGACCTCTTAGCTAGAGAATGTATGTCAGAATCCATAATAGACTCGCCAAATCTCTACAAACATGGATTTACCAAACAAGCCAAAAAAACACTGAGACTCTCAGGCAATATTGTTTGCTCTTGGGAGGAGTTCCTCTTTTTCTGATGTTGAATGTTCCCTCTTGCTGGGCAAATGAAGGCTCACAGTGCTGTGCTGGTCTGTCCTCTGCTAAGACTGCTGATCACCCAGGGCCAGGTTCAGCGTGTTCTTCAATGTTTGCATTTCTACGTGTGTTGTCACGGCATGAATAACCCTCACTCTATGTCCGTTTCATTACTGTGCTTCCTTATTACTTGAAATTTTAGGATAGCAAATTATATGTGAATTTTTGGATAAAACTTTGTTGTATCCATCGTAATTAAGCTTGAATTGTCTAATTTTTATTTTTGACAGCTGCAGCATCGGGCAATGAGAACATACAGCCACCCCCGTTAGCTTATAAGAAATGGGGCCTACAGGATATTGACACTATTATTGATCATGCTAGTATTGGTAAGCATTGCTAGTTCCAGGGTTGTTTTGTTGTTGTAGTAGTAATTCTTTACTGAAGTACCTAACTTATTAGAAATGAGCCTTTTTTCTTATATGAATGAATCCACTGCCTTTAGTAAACATTGGGAAGGTAGTGCCAACTCTTATACACGTGAGACTTTTAAGAGAAGTATCAGTTTTTAAAGATTTAATTATTCTTTCAGAGCAGTACTGAAGTTTTTGGTCACTATTTTGATATCGTTTGTCTCCTGAAATTCAGATCCATGTAATAACCCTATTTTCAGACTTTTTAAAATATAACCCTTGGACCTACATAAAACGAATTTCTTCTTGTAACAGTATTTGAGGGCTTATTGTGTTGGGCTTCAAGAATCTATCCATCAAAGGCTGGGTTTGGTGGTGTACACCTGTAATCCCAGGATTTGAGAGCCTGAGGCAGGAGGGTTGGGAGTTTGAGGCCAGCCTGGGTTACTGAATAAGACCCTTGTCTCAAACAAAAACAAAACAGGAATAGAGTGATGAAAAACTTGATCTCTGTCCAGAAGTACTAGGCCAGTTGGACAATACATGGAAGAGTGGACCAGCTGCAGTGGGAACCAGGGAAAAAGCCCCTAGCATCAAGCAACTCTGACTAAAGCTGACAGAGGACACGGACCTCTGGCAGCACATGTTCTGGCCTGGGGTGAATGGCAGAGTGTGCTGGAGAGACAGTGAACGCCTAGGGAGCTGGCAGGAGCGAGGGCAAATACGTAAACAAATGTAGCTTTGAAAAGGCCTCATGCACCTCACAGAGGAGGAGCTAGTGTTTTCATTTAGAGTGTCTTCAGCCGTAACTGAGCAAAAGGAATAACACCCTCACGTTGCTTGCTAGGAAAGCACTGTGGTGGCAGCTTAGGCACTGGATAGATGCGTCACCATTAGCAAGGAGAAGCTGGGTGTATTGGTATGCTTATGGTTCCAGCTGTTCTGGAGGCTGAGGCCGGAGGATAACACATTCAAGGACTGCCTGGGCAGCATGGCCATATTCCATCTTTAAAAAAGAAAAGAAAAGATTAGTAAGGAGACTATAATAATCTTCATGAGCAGTAATAGGCCTCTGAATTAAGGTGGTAAAAGTGGGAGTAGAGAAAGTATTATTTTAAAAATATTTTTCATCATTGCAATGTATGTTCATTAAAAATTCAAACCATATATAAACATTACAGAGAAAAAGATAAAAAAAAAATAATTTAAGTCCTACCATTGTCTTTGGTATTTGGTCACCTGGTCTGTGTATAAGTGCATGTATAATATGCATATGATCATGTAGAAAGGTATGTTTTCATAATTATTATTACATTATACCAGCTCTGTTACAGCCCTTTTCCAGTCAGTGACTCAGGAAGACTTTTCACATGAATTTTGCTAAATAGATATTTTATCGGCCACAGTCCTAATGGAATACAGATGGCACACTTGACACAGGGTACTTGAAAAGTTTATTTCAGAGGGACTGTAAGGATGTGCTATGGGAGAAGCACCAGAGGTCATTCAGTGACCCAGGGCTTATCAGCCAGGCTGTTAGCCCCTGCTAGATCTGAAGATTTAGGTGCAGGGGGCCATTCCCAGGCTCAAAGATGATGACTAGGGAGGGCTAGCTCCTGGAGAGCAGGACGGCTCTTCCTCTAGGAGGATCTAGGGAAAGAGATGTCCCCACTTCACTCTCATTCTCTCTCTGGTGCCCTGATAAGACTTCCCATTGTCTGAATTCAGCCAGAATTCAGCATGATCTGTAGAAAGTGAAAACTGAGCACCAATGGATGGATCCACACCCAAGAGTGTTTGGAGAACACAAATGAGGCTCTCGATAGGCCTTTTAAAAAGAAAAATAATAATAGAGGACATTATTAGGGGCGAGGCGTAGTAGGGTTGGGGTGGAGATAGGGAGGGCCTGTGGATTGATCAAAATTCATTGTATGAAATTCTTGAAGAATCAGTTTAAAAAAGAAGAAAAGAGAAAGGTCTAGAGAAAGCAGGAAGGAATGCGTCTAGAAGGCTAAGAGAAGGTGCCTGGCACACGGGTTCTGATCTGTTCATTGCAGAATTCTGCATCATTGTTGCCTGGACACTCTTCATTGAGTGCCTTTGGTAAACATTAGCGTGGCTTTAGTTTTTTGCTAAGAGAAATGCTTAGCATGAAATTTCCAAAGTGTTGAGTTCAGTCCAGGGTGTCTTCCCTGCTCTGTTAATTAAACTTTGGAACATTGAAACTGGCTGGGGAAAATGATTGGATAGAAAATATTATTCTATTCATTTAATCCCCAGCCTACAAAAAAAGTACAATGAACTTTATTTTATGTACATCTTTATGTAAAGGTCTTTATTACCTCATTCAACAAATGAATACCTGTTATGCTCTTGGGACTAATATTAGTTGCAGAAATAAAAAACAGTTCGGATCCCTATTCTGAGGAATTTTACATTCTGATGATAGGAAGATTAACTAAATGAATAAATGTAGTGCTATGAAAACACTAGTAGGCATGATGCAGGAAATCAACAGAGGGTTTTGATCAGGAGTAAAAAAAGAATGCTTAGGTAGATTGGCAAGGACAGGCCTTCCCAGGCCTAGACTGAGACAGGAAGACTGAGAAGGGGCCGGCTGTGGGACAGTCTGTAGTCAAAGCATTCCCAGTAGAGGGCAAAACATGAAGATAGACCTGGGGACCTCAGAGACCTCAGGATTCTAGAAAAAAGGGAGGTCACTGTGGCTATACAGTTCAGAGTGTGTGTGAAACACGGCAGGTTCGGTTGGAGATGTACATGCGGATCAAATCCAGGAATAAAGAAGTGGCATTTTATCCTAATCCTAGTGGATGAAATTTGTCACTTCTGGGTCGGGGGACGTTTAAAAATACCCATTGGGTGCTTGTATAGATATGGAAAAGGAAGCCAGATGAGGAGGTAGAACATTGCAATGATCCATGCAAGTGAAGGATGGATTTAGAGTGGAAGCAGTGATGTGAAGTGTTTTACAGTTGCTTAGGAATGTGTGAGAAATGAGAGGAAGAAAAGGACTCCTTTCTTAGAAGTTTGTATATTTCATACAGAACATCTTAATCAGCTTCATACCCCCTTCCCCATTGGCACCAGCTCATAGCCCCTGCCACCAGCACACACACACTGAATTCATACAATTTTTCTTTTTTGGTTTTTTTGAGACAGGGTCTCCCTGTAGCCCCAGCTGACCCGGAACTCACTATGTAGACCAGGCTGGCCTCGAACTCACAGAGATCTGCCTGCCTCTGCTGGGATTAAAGGCGTGCACCACTACGCCCAGCACATTTGTCATTTGTGTTAAGGCCTATTATGTCTAGTTGGTGTCCCCAGATGTCCCTCAGTGCAAGTTCATCCACTGAGCTCTAGTCTTCTGTGTTTCATAGTCATTTTTTAAAGCTCATTCTGAACATTTATACTTGGATATCCAAACTTAACATCCAGTATTAAAATCTGGATTTTCTCGCTGGGCGTGGCGGTATGTGGTCTATCCACACAGTGACTTCCAGGCCAACTAGGGCTACAGGGAGACCCTGTCTCAGAAAGACCAAATAAAAAAAAAAATAATAAAATAATAATAAATAAAATCTTGATTTCCTCTTATCACACTTGTTCCTCCTTTGTTCTTCCACTTCGTTTCTCTTGGCTGCTGCTTCCACCTACACACAGAGCCCTGCACAGGTGCTGTTGACCTGCCTCCTGATGCTCCTCTCCCACTGTGTTCATTGTGCGGCTCTTCTCACTCAGTCCTCAGATGCACCTGGTGTCTTCTCCAGACATCCATTAACTGCTCCCTCTGCCTGGAACACTACTGCCCTAGTTAGCTTTTTGTCACTCTGATAAAGCACTGACCAAAAGCAATTTAGGGAGGAAAGCGTTTATTTGGCTTACACACAGTCCATCACCAAGGGAAGCCAAGGCAGGACCTGAAGCAGAGACTGTGGAGGAATGCTGCTTACTGGCCTGCTCGCCTGGCTTGCCCAGCTACTTTTCTTATGCAGCCTAGACCCACCTGCCCAGGGATGGCACCACTCACAGTCAAGAAAAATGCCTCACAGACAAGCCCACAGGCCAATCTGATATAGGAGATTCCTCAGTCGAGGCTCTTTCCAGGTGACTTTTAAGTGTGTGTCAAGTTGTCAGCTATGGCTAACTATGACCTGGCTAGTCACTTAGCTGTCCTTCACTTTGCTCAGGTCTCTCTTCAGATCTCTTTATCAAGGAAGTCTTTCATATGTGCTACAACAGATACAGAAAATTGTCCAGTGGGCTTGACTTTGTGGAAATTTTTGTTGAGAGGAAATTCGTTGTGTTTCAGAGTCTGGAAAAGGACTCAAATGTTCAGGGAAAATCCTAAATGACAAGATTATAACTTGGGTGGAGGGGGATCAGCTAAGGAAATCAAATTGAAGGCTTTTCTCAACAATAAGTAAGATTTACATCATTTGTTTGTTTGTTTGTTTGTTTGTTTGTTTGTTTGACACAGGGTTTCCCTGTAGCCCCAGCTGGCCTGGAACCCACTATGGAGACCAGGATGGCCTTGAACTCACAGAGATCCTCTTGCCTCTGCCTCCCAAGTGCTGGGATTAAAGTTATGTGCTGCTATGGCTGGCTCTGATTTACATCATTCTTAATAATTAAAACAGTGTGAATTTAATTTAAAATAATTGAGCTGCAGCCATTGAAGGGATGAGAACAGGAAACAAGGCCATCACTAGGCTGCATCACCTTAGATCCATGAAGCATAATTCTAAAATTGCTGACAAAAGACACTAAGCATCTAGTTTCAACTACCAGTATATAACAGGATAGGGCAAAAGAGAATGTTAAATAATACCACAGAGGTAAAGTTAGCCAAATCTAGACTGGGAAATTTGTACCCAACAGTCTGGTTTTTTTCAAAAAAGTAGATTTCAAAGAGTTGGGGTTGGGGGAGGTGTTGAGGACAGTGGAGGTGGAGGTGGCCTCGCATGCCCATTTGTCTGTCTGCCTTACTTTGAAACCCACATGGACTGATTGCCTCTGGCAATGAACAGCTGTTTTCCTTCAGGAGCAGAGAATTGAGGAAATTCAGGTCTAACAAAGTTTAAGATTTACTCCAGAGAGCGTGTGGGGTGATGGGTGCAGGGGTGGTAGATGGTTGGCCCGAAGGGTTGTCATGGAATGTGGATCTAACTGGATAAGACGGGAAGGGAACCCAATAGTAGAAAAACTGATGGTAAAATGTAGTGTTAGTGCAGGAGGTTACTAAAGAATGGAGATGGAAAGCTAGATGGTCAGGAAGTGTTTGGCTTGAAATCCAGGATACAAGGAATTGATAGCGAATGACATGACAAACTCTTAGATGTGGCACTGAGAGGGGATGGCTGAAGTTGTGGGAAGGAAAAGATCGTTGGTGGTAAGGACAGAAAGAACAGATTGGCCATTTCCTTAGAATATAAGGAAATATTCTTTATAATGTTGATATATATTACCTAACTGACTGCTAGATGTCATGGAGCAGCAGTTATCCCCCCCATAGTGCATGGAAGTATGAAGAAAAGCTACTTTAAACCCTACGTTCTGATTTATTGCTGTCAGATTGCCCTTTGTTCCTATGTTCTGCAAGCATTCAGTTCAACATTTTTTATATTAAATCTTGAATTCATTCATGAATCCAGTATTTACGAAGATTTACTTGATCATTTTAATACCTACATCAAATAAATATTTTACTATAAATACATTTAAAAGAATTTCCATTCCCAGGACTCTAAGGACAGTGTTTTTGACAGTTTTGGGGCAAAGTGAAGGCAGTAACTATTTACAAAAATCAGTATGTGGAACAGTAGCAAATGGATTACCTTCATATATGGTGTGACCGCCAACTTTGAAGACATTGCCTGAGTGGAATCTAGACGTGGGTTTTCACTTTGTAGCTGTCCAAGCTCACATATTCCCTTTTTCTCTGACACCTAGGAGACCAGGTTTTTTCCTCAGCTGTAGACAGGCATGTGATTGTCATCCAAGACACCTGCTTCTATTGTTGTTCTTTTGGGGGGGGTGTCTTTTTTTTGAAACAGGGTCTCCTTGTAGCCCCAGCTGGCCTGGAACTCAATATGTAGACCAGGCTGGCCTTGACCTCACAAAGATCAGCTTGCCTCTGCCTCCCAAGTGCTGGGACTACAGGTGTGTGCCAATATGCCCAGCCCTACTTTTGTTCTTAGAGCCTTGGGGAAATAAAAGCAGCTCTTCATGATGAAAGTTTGGGGATTTCTGGACTGCTAAGCAGATGTTTGGGAGTGTGTTTTCACTGTGTTGGGAGTGGGTATGAAACAGTGGTATTCTCCTTTTTGTGGGGGGAATATAAATTATTATCACCTCTATGGAAAGCAACATGACAGCACTTGCTAAAAATTTTTTAGAGCGCTTATTCCAAATCAGGTATAGTAGCACATTCCAGTAATCCCAGTTACTTGAGAGGCTGAGCCAGGAGGATCACTTGAGTACAGGAGTTTCAGGCCAGCTTAGGAAACACAGAAAGAAGCCAGGCATGGTGGCACACGCCTTTAATCCCAGCACTCATGAGGCAGAGGCAGGTGGATCTCTGTGAGTTCAAGGCCAACCTGGTCTACATAGTGAGTTCCAGGACAGCTGGGACCACAGGGAGACCCTGTCTCAAAAAGACCAAAAAATAAAAAATAAAAGGAAACATGGAAAAGACACATACACATACCAAAAATCCCATTTGACTTCATACTTTTGTTTATAAGAATTCACTATATAGGTAGACTTAAATAGGTGTGCAAAATATATTAAGGATAGCTATTATGGCATTCTTTATAGTACCCAAAGATGAGAAACAACCTGCAGGTTCATCAGTAGGTCAGATAATCATGATATAACCAGAGAAGGGAATCTGATAGAATGATGGAGAAGAATGAAGCATGTCTCCTTGACACTAAATAAACTTTTTGTAGGGGCTGGAGAGATGGTTCAGCAGTTAAGCACACTGGTTGTTCTTGCAGAAGACGCGGGTTCAAACCCCAGCACCCACATGGCAGCTAACAACTGTCATAACTCTAATTACAGGAGATCTGACAGCCTCTTCTGTCCTCCACGGGCATTGGTGCACTTACCTACATACAGGCAATACATGCATACACATAAAATAAAAATAAATATTTAAAAAAAAAAACCTTTGCAATAGATGGAGGCTATTTCAGAGATCCACAGCTGGTCAGAATGTAGAGAATAAATGAATGTGGGCTGCCCCAGCCCTAATACATCTACAGTGCTGCCTGCACACCTATGGTTAAGGGAGCTTCTTAGAAGATAGGGCAGCCATTTTAAAAAAAAAAAAAAAAAGGAAGAAGGAAAAATACGTGAAGTTATCAGAAAAAAAGTGATGGGGAGATATGAGAGGAGTTGGAGGGGAGGGAATGGGCATGCATTTGACATTTGATCAAAACACCTTACATGCTTATATGCCTGTATGAAATTCTCAACTTACTTATTCCATCACTATAGAAGCTTCTCAAAAGTATATACATATACATTATAAAAAGAGGTTAAAAGAAGCTACCCATTGAGAGAGAACTGACATTAATTCTCGCCACTCCAACAGCTATCAGAGTGCCTGGAAACAAATCCCAGGTCCATCACTCTCAAGTCCAGCCTTGGCAGACAAAAGAAAAATGAGGAGGAACCCAATAGAGAGATGCTTTTGGAAGCTCTTGTCAAATCCCAGTGGACTCTGATATGAACATTTGAAATTTGCCCTGTACTGGCTTTTTTCTGGTTCTCCATCTAGAACTTGTAATGCTAACTATACTCTTGCCTTTACTTCTTCACATCCCCTATTGACCAGTCAGGGACTTTGTTTCCTCCTTACAGATAAGAGTTATGCAATTTAGGAGTCTTAGATAGACCCACTGAAGGGGGTACCCCAGTTGCCTCACCCTGCATCCCTGTTCAGCATGGAAGAAGCCACAGTGGTCTGCATCCCGATTCCCTGTCTGCAAGCTGGGTAACCTCTTCAGAGGATGGTGTGAGGATGGTGTGATAAGAATAGGAGGTAGGAATTGGCTAGGCAGTTAGGGTAAAACCAAAGAAAAGTAGCCAGTTTCTTGGCTAAATGTCAAAATGTCCTTAGGCCTGTTAGCAACATATTTGTTCCAAAAGCCAAAAATGATAAAAGTGTTTGGGAGCTGTTATCTAATCCCTAAAAGATTTTAAGGTTACCTCTTCAGAGGGATAATGTTAGAGTAGCAAAATGCTCCATTTAAAAGGAAAGGGATGGAGGGAGGGATGAAGGAAAGAGGGAGGGAGGGAAGGGGAGGAAGGGGAAAGTACACCAAGTTGTCAGAAAAAAGTGATGGGGAGAAATGGGAGGTGTTGAAGGGGAGAGAGTGGGAGTGGATTTGATCAAAACACCTTATGTGGGTGTATGAAATTCTCAAAGTTTCGTTTAAAAGTTAAGAAGAGGAAGAAGGGGCAGAAAGAGTGTAAGAGCCAGAGGACCAGGACACTTGTTAGATAGTGTCTTCTAGACATGACGGGGAAGCTGTGCCCATAAAATCTCCAGAATGTGGTTTCTTAAATAAGACCTGCACAATGATACGACCTGTTGACATGCCAGTGTGGATGGAGGAAGCTTCACAAGGTCCGACCTCCACATGAAGAGCTACAGACAATTAGTGGCTGCTGAGGCAGGGGGAGAGAGTCAGTTTTCTCCAGGGAGGAGCACCTGATAGGTTATCTAATTCCAGGCTGTCAACCCTAAACATGTATACGCAAGCAACACTAAATGGACTCTGGTGGGGGCCGGGTGACCATAATAAAGAAGGTATCATGAAGTTGAGGGGGTTGAGGAGGTGTGAGAAGAGGTGGAGGAAGGAGAGGGAGGCATGAAATGGTGTAAATACAGCACTCAGAAAGTTTTCAAAAAGAAAAAATTTTTAAATAATAAAGGAAAGCACACATGAACTCTGCTTATTCAGTGTGCTGCCATGTTTGTGCACTGTCCCTGAACTGAGTCTGCTGTTGTCTCTGAGAGGTGAGCTGGTGTCTAGTGATTAGGTGGAGTGTGCATTTTCTGTACAGGCTTAGTTTGTTTCTGTTCAAAAAATTAGTATTTAAGTTTTTGTAGCTGGAAGAAAATATAGTTAACAGTTTTTGTTTTTATTAGTACTTTCTAATGTCGATTTTGTAGTTTTAAAATGACTTGTTCGTTAAATAAAACTAAACCATTAACGTCTCAAAATTGAGCTAAAAAAATAAAATGACAGTCATTTCAGCAATTCAAATTGTGGTTTTGTTTGTGTTTTCCTTGTCATTAGGTATTATGACTCTGTCCCCTTTTGATCAAATGAAGACTGCTTCCAATATAGGTGGATTTAATGCAGCAATTAAAAACAGCCCGCCTGCCATGTCTCAGTACATCACTGTGGGGTCCAATCCGTTTACTGGCTTCTTCTATGCTCTAGAGGTATGAATTTCATCTCTGATCATGGGTAAAGCTACTCTTTAAGTTTTTAATTTGCCTAAGAATTAGATATAGTAACACAACCTTAGAAACATTAACTTTCTAAGTTTCAGTTGAGGCTAAAATTAATTATAAGTAAATTTCTTCTAAATTATTTTTTGTTAAAAATTTGTGACTGTGTGTGATGTGTATGTGTGAATGTGTACTATATATAGGGATGTGGGTATGATGTTTGTGAGTAGGTGTGATATATGTGGGGAGGTGATGTGTGTGGTGAATATCATGTATTTATGTGAGTGTGATGTGTGTGTGTGATATATGTGGGTGTGATGTATGTGTGTGTATATGTGATTTATATATGTGTGTGATATATATGTGTCAGTGTATGCATGTGTGCTATGCTGGGAGGTGGTCTGAGAACTTTGGGAGTTTGTTCTTTCCTTCCACCTTGATGAGGCCGGGCCCTGCTTGTTTCTGCCACACCATGTACTCCAGGCTAGCTGTTCCATGAGCTTCTGGTTGCAGCTCCCATCTCCCTGTAGCAGTACTGGATCCCACATGTGCACTATCACCTCAGGATTTTTTAGGGATCTGGAGATACAGCTCAGGCCATCAGACTTATATTGCATGCACGTGTATCCACTGAGATCATCTCAGCAGCTAAAGTTTCTTCTGAATTCTTTTTTTTTTAAATTGTTTTATTTAATTTTTTTTTCTTTTTCGTCTTTTTGAGACAGGGTCTCCTTGTAGCCCCAGATGGCCTGGAACTCACTATGTAGACCAGGCTGGCCTTGAACTCACAGAGATCTGCCTGCCTCTGCCTCCTGAGTGCAGGGATTAAAGGCATACACCACACCTGTTTTATTTAATTTTATTTATTTGAGACAGGGCCTCAATATATCTCATGCTTACCTTGAACTTGCTGTGTTGCTGAAAGTGATCCTGGACTTTTTCTTTTCTTTTTATTTTTGTAAATTTTTTATTGAATTTTTGTGTATTTCACACAGAACATGCCAATCATCTCTATATACCCTCCCCCATTGGCACCCTCCCACAGTCCTGTCCCCCCACTGGAATTCAATACATTCTGTCATCTGTGCCAAGGCCCATCATGTCAAGCTAGTGTCCGCAGACGTCCCTCAGTGCAGATTCATCCACTGTGGTCTAGTCAGCCCATCCAGAGTCCCTCCCCTTAAGAAGATCAGCTCTTTCTCACCCAGCAGTAATCAGCTGCCAATATGAATTCTTTATTTTAACCAAAAAAGTATTAGTAAAGGAAAACCATCAGCTGGAGATGTTCTTCAGTTTGTACAGCACTTGCCTATTATGCATGACAATTTCTAGCAACATATGTACCTGTTTGTACCTGCATACCTGTGATCCTAGCACTTGGGGGAGAGAGAGGCAATAGGATCAGGAGTTCAGTGTCATGCTTGGCTACATAGCACATTTGAGACCATCCTAGGCTATAGGAGACTTTGCCTCAAAAAATAAATAAATAAATAAAAATAATGATAAACTTCTTTGCTCCTAAAGCCTTAAGTTTCTGACAGCTTAGTTTTGTTTAAATACTGGTGCAATACTCAGATGGAAGCTCAGGGTTGTTAATTATGTCAGCCCACCAGGGATTTGAATAAACAAGGAAGTGTAAAACAGAACAACTGTCCATTGTACTTGGTAGAGGTGGTAAAAAGTTGTTTCCTGAAATAGAGAAAAGTTAGGTGCTCCATGTGGCAGCTCTTCTCACTTAAAAAGCAGCCTTCTCAGACTTGTCTAAAATGTCTTTTTGCTTTTATACAAATATGTCCTTACTTTAAAAAAGTGGGGAGGGGAACCCATTGTGTGTAGGTGGGAGATCCTTAGCACAGCTAGGACAGTGTCATCTAAAGGCCTCCTTTAACATTTCTCATCATTAAACTACAGCTTAAAGAGAGAAGCCCTAAAGATTGGTCATAGGCCTAGAGCACTGCTTCAGGCAGTGTGTTTGTTACATTTGCTTTACTGAGGCTGAAGGACTTGACGACTGAGAATAGTGATTTCACTTTTGAAATTCTAGTTAATTTTTTTCTTGCTATATTGCTGCTAAAATAAAGTGAACACCATCTGAACGAAGCTGAGCTGCTAGTGCAGACTGCAACTTTCTCCAGCTTTTTTATTCTTTTAAGACACGATTTCACTGTGTGGCCCTGGCTGGTCTGGAACTCACATGCAGCCAGGCTTTCCTAAGTAATTTTGTCTCACTTAGAAAATAGGCTCCTTTTCTCTGAGGCATTCAGCTCTCCTGTTTGTGTCCTACAGGGAAGCACACAGCCCCTGCTGTCTCATGTTGCACTGGCAGTTGCAAGTAAACTGACTTCTGCTCTATTTAATGCTGCCAGGTAAGTTAACTGACACTAAGCTGCTCTCGTTTGTATCTAGTTTGACTTTAGCTCAGACTTTGAGGACTTGTACTTCAAAACCCTTGAAACTAGTTTTGTCCTCTTTTCCTTCTCTTCAGTGGTTGGCTTGGTTGGAAAAGTAAACATGAAGAAGAACCTGTCCAGAGGCAGAAGCCCAAGATGGAGCCTGCCACCCCCTTGGCAGTGAGGCAAGTCGGCAGCCGTGCTTCTCGTGCTGTGGTACCTGGAGAAACGTTGCTACGTTCAGGATTGCTCAGTGCACTTAGCTCATTTCCTGACTTCATGGCTCTTTGGGGCTTCTGAGAATTATTAGTAGGGGATTCTTTTTCCTACTGGGACATAGTGATAGCGATGCTTGCCCTTTACCAGGAGTCAAACACTTCAGAATACTGGCTTGTGCTTCCTTCCTTCTTTTGTTTAGGATATGTTAGTATACCTCTGAGTGGTGGGTTTTCTGTTCATGTTAATTTTTTTAAGCAGGGTGGGGTGGTGGCATGTGATTTTTACTAGGTTTTCTTTTTAAATTGTTGCATATTACCTATATAAAGAACCATTATAAAAGGAAGAAATACTCTAGCTCCTTGTTTTTAAAGATGTTCATCACCTGAAGAAAGCCAGCAATAACATTAATTTTTTTTATTTTATTTATTTTTATTTTATGTGTATGAGTGTATTGCCTGCATGTATGTGAGTGCATTCGTGTCGTGCAATGGCTCGGCTGTCAGAAGAGGGCATCAGATTCCCTTGGAACTGGAGTTAAGGACGGTTCATAGCCGCCATGTGGGTGCTGGGAATCGAATTCAGGTCCTCTGCAAGAGCAGTCAGTGCTCTTAACTGCTGAGCCATCTCTCCAGCCCATAATAATAATTTTTTGAGGCACAGATCTGCATTCATTACTATCCAAACAGAGAGACCACAGAGTATCATTTTCTTTTTTGCAGTATTGGGGGACCTCTTGCATGCTAGGCAAGCATTGTTACACTGAACATTGAATTAGATCACTGTCCTTCGTTTTATTTAAAAATATTTATAATGCTGTATTAGTTACGTTTCTGTTGCTGTGATAAAACACCATGATCAAAGCAGCTTATAGAAGGAAGAGTTTATCTGACTTATGGTTCCAGAAGCCTAAAAGTCCAGCATGGCGGGGGAGACATGATAGGAGGTAAAAAAGCTGAGCACTCACATCTTCAAGTTCACACAGGAAGCAGAGAGGGAGATTCTGAAAGTGAGACAGAACTATGGACTGCAAAGCCCACCCCAAGTGGCATACGTCCTCCAGCAAGGCCACACCTCCTGAAAAGCTCCACGACCCTAACCCCAAATAGCACCAGCAGTGACTGAGTGTTCACGTACTTGGAGCCTATGGAGGGTGTTCTCATTCAAACCACCACAAACACATTTTCTGAATTCATTCAGCAACCAAGAAATTAGACAAGTGGCCCTTAGGTCTCAAACAGATCTGGCAACGTTTGAGCACTGGCTTGAGGATGTTTTCTCAAAGGGGGCTCCCCTGTCCTTTGTCAGTACTTTTCACTTTATCTTGCTGATAGTTCTAATAAGGTTAGAAATAGGCCAATAGCACTTCAATAATAACTCTTTAGAGCCGGGCGTGGTAGCACACACCTTTAATCCCCGCACTCAGAAAGCAGAGGCAGGTGGATCCCCTGTTCAACATAGTAAGCTCCAGGCCAGCTGAGGCAACAGAGAGACCCTGTCTCAAAAAGAGCAAAAAAATAAAAAATAATAGTAACTCCTTAAAAAAGGAAAGTTCTTGTTTCAGGCAGCGTGTTAAGTACTTCTGCATTAGTGAGGTCAAAGTATTTGAAAGAAACAGAGAGAAAATTTATTTTAGTTCAGTTTCCAGAGGTTTAGCCTATGGTCAGTTGGTCCCATGTACTTGGGCGAACATCACTGTAGTGGGAATGTGTGGCATAAGAGAGCTGTTCACCTCTCAATAGACAGGAAGCAAGAACACAGGACCAGGAAGGAAGAACACAGGACCAGGAAGAGTCCAGGACAGGATACAGCTCAAGGACACACACCCCCAGTGACCTACTTCCAAGTAACCTCCTTGACAGCACCTCCTGATAATGTCATATTACACATCCATCAAGGGACTAGTCCATTCATTAGATCAGCACTGTCAGGGTAGGAACACCTTCAGACTGTCCCAGAAGTGTGCTTTCTTAATGTCCTAGACGTTTTCCCATCTAATCAAGTTGATAGCCATCACAGACCTCAAGATTGACCATTGCAGACAGATGCATTGGTGTCAGCAAGATATGCCATCTAGCAGAAAGAGGACAAGTTGGGGAGATGAACTTAAAGTAGATGAAGATGCCTGTGTGGGGACAAAGCGCCCTAAAGTTCAGTTGGCTGTGATGTTTCTGCGACATGCCACTCTTGGAGAAAAATAAAGCTCACCTCATACTCTCTGAAACTACAAAATGGTAGATCTCTATACAAAAATCCTCATAGGACTGTGGAACTTCTCCTCCTCCTCTTTTTTTGTTTTTGTTTTTGTTTTTGTTTTGATACAGGGTCCCCCTGTAGTACTGACTGACCTGGAACTCCACCAGGCTGGCCTTGAACTCACAGAGATCCTCCTGCCTCTGCCTTCCAAGTGCTGGGATTAAAGGCATATGCTAGCACACCTGGCTTTTTTCTTGTATTTTTTGATGCAGATGTCAAATATGATTAATAAATTAGTAACCCAGGCAAAGTTTATATTTCTTCATTCAGGAACATAGGCAGTCAGTTTTATTTAAGCATTTCATTATTCTGCGATTCAAGCTTTGAATGGGATTTTAACCTTTAATTATTTATTTATTTATTTATTGTTTTTTTGAAGCATGGTCTCCTGTAGCCCCAGCTGTCCTGGAACTCACTATGTAGACCAGGCTGGCCTTGAACTCACAGAGATCCGCCTGCCTCTGCCTCCCAAGTGCTGGGACTACAGGCGTGTGCCACCACGTCTGGCTCATTATTTATTTTTAATGACAGATTTGGACTTCCAGATTCTAGACGTCATGGGGAAAGCATGTGCCTGTCTCCGTGTAACACCCTGGCAGCAGTAACAGATGACTTTGGCAGAGTTATCTTGTTGGATGTGGCTAGAGGAATCGCAATACGCATGTGGAAAGGTACTTATAAAAAATCCAGAAAAAAAGTTGATTCACTTTTGACTTCAGTAGTTGAGCAACATCATCCATCCTTCAGGCTCTGGTTGGTAACAGCATTCCGTCCTCTGTGTGTTCTCTTTTTAACATAAGCTCAGATCAGCAACACCTGATTAGTGGTTAATTGGTACATGATCATTGAGGGCACTGTTTTTTTTGTTTTGGGTTCTTGTTTTGTGATGGTAGGTGCTGAACCAGGGCCTTGTCCTTGCTACTACGGAGCTATACCTCCACTTTTTCGTGGGCACAGTAGCCTCCTCCTTAAGCACTTATTTTTAGTTCTGACTGTCATTGTGAAGTTGTGAATTCAGTTTCTTGTCCCTGCTACATTCATTTTCCTTTATAAGGCCACTCTTAGCCACATGTTTCCCAAACCCAAAATGCCAAATTCTTCGGAGTCAAGTAAGAGAGTAAAACTGGCAGAATCCATCCACTGACTGGACTTGGTTCTGTCCATTTACTTAGATCAGTACACTTAATTTATCAGTAGCTATGTTAGTTAGTTTCATTCAGCTGCTAATAATAGACCCAAGTACAGCACCACCACAGTACCACCAAGGTATTCTCGCCACCCTTGTTCCCTGCAGGGGGCTTCTCTACTCACAGTTCTCAAGGCCAGCCTTTGCATTCTGAGAAGGAGGAAGGGAAGGACACTGCCAGCAGTGTTGGTCCACTTTACAGATAATTTCTCTCCAAGTTTTATCCTACAATATTTTTAGTTAGGACCTATTGCTATGTAGACCAGGCTGGCCTCAATATCACAGAGATCTGCACAGTGATCCTCCTGACTCTCCAAGTGCCTGGCTTGAAAATATCTTTTAATTGGGTAAATTGTCAGCCTAAATAAAGTCTCTCTGGCCAATGGGAAGAAGAGAATACATTGCTTAGAATGGTCAGAACTGCAGTCTGACTGCCTAAATCACTGTCTGGAAAGCACTGGATAGGCAGTCTTTGCTGTACTTGACAGTGTGAGGACTGGCGGATTAGAGGACACTGAGTTACTCTGGACTAGAGGCCACTCACCTTCTTGCCTGAGAACTTGTAAATGACAAATAGGCAGTCTTTACCTCAGTATGTTTATGTACCCATAAGTTTTAAAGTTTCAGTCCCATAGGAACATCCTTTGCCTTTGGGGTCTGTCTTCTGAAACAACAGCTGACCCAGGTGGTACAGCTGTGCTGTCGGGGCCAGGTCCCCTCTGGCCATCTCATTGCTACCATTGTTGCTGTTTTTCCGCAGCTGCTTCCGCCAGTTGTCCTTCCATAGTATGTTAGATAGAAGAGGGCCACCCTAAACAAGACGGCACCAGGTGCTGCTCTCTGCACCTACTGTCTTGTCTTCCATACTGCCACCCTGCTTTCCCTGTGTCTGTACCACCAAGGAGTTTGAACAGGCAGGAAGTCAACCTGATCTTTTGCTTATATTTTAACTGACCAAACCTAATAATCTCCTCTGATCTTTCTTTGAACGGAAGGAATCTTTCAAAGAGAGGAAAGGAAGGGAATGGAAACACAGGCAGGGATGGACCCAGGAAGCCTTGATATTCGTAAGATTTCTTGTTAAAGAACAAAGCTATCTGAAGTAAATGCACATGGTAAAGATGGAAAGTTATTAAGTCTCAGCGGCAGATTACTCTGTGTATTACCTTTTCTGTTGAAGCTATTTTGTAATAAAGTGGTGTCTTGATGGCCTTCCTCCCCCGCATATTCAAAAGTGCTTCAAGATGCTACTTCCAAGCCTAGGTGAATAGGCTGATTAGTGTCCCTTTCTTTTTGTCTCAAGGGTACCGAGATGCACAGACTGGATGGACCCAAATTGTGGAAGACCTCCATGAACGAGCACCAGAAAAGGGGGGCTTTTCCCCGTTTGGAGATTCGCAGGGTCCCAGTCGAGTAGCTCAGTTCCTTGTGATCTATGCACCAAGAAGGGGAATTTTGGAAGTGTGGAACACACAGCAAGGACCTAGAGTGGGAGCTTTCAACGTCGGTAAGCACTGCAGGTAAGCTTCAATCCCTGGCAGTCTGCTGGTTACAGAAAGGAATGCAGGAATGCTTTTGCTAAAGCTTTTATTAAAACTACATATTAGGCTGCAGGGAGTTTTAGAATTGTGGTATTCTCTGTATGTGTTGCTGTGAGTGCCTGATGTGCAGTTAAGGATTAAGTGTTACATAGCAAAAAATAATGCTGAAAATGCTGTGATCTTCAGCTGAATTAAAGTGAGCGTGCTGTAGCCTTTTGTCTTTACTTATGCTGTGAAGACTCTAAAGTCCTTTCAGAGTTTCCTAGTGATGGTGCTAAGTGAGGCAAGTACTTTGTTTGACATTGAAATGTAAGTCTGATTACCTTCAAAGACAGTAGCCCAGCCATGTTCGTTCTGTTTCACTTAGGTTTTTGGTATCAGTATTTACTTATGTTATTAATGTCCCTGCGTTGATGATAAGGTAACTGTAGAAAAAGCACCTTTGGGGATTTTTCCTTTTGCTAATAACCTTACCATTCTGGTATTTGATCGCCTTAGGCTACTGTATCCTGGCTATAAAATAATGGGCTTAAACAATGTGACGAGTCAGAGTTGGCAGCCTCAGACCTACCAGATCTGTCTCATTGACCCAGTGTCTGCAAGTGTGAAAACAGTGAATGTTCCTTTCCATTTAGCACTGAGGTAAGCTTTACTGGGTCTCCTGTGTGACTTTCCTGTGTGCACTTTTCCTGGTCTCTTAGCTTGGGCTTGGTTTTTATCCCAGTGTTTTATCACTGGGAAATACCTTTAAAGTTAAAGAGGAAGTATATAAAGAAAGAAAAGAAAGTTGGGTTGCATCAAGATTAGAAAGAACATAAATGTGGCATGTAAGAAGTTGTATTATTGTTTTAGTGATAAGAAGAGTGAGAGAGCCAAGGACCTGCATTTGGTGAAGAAGCTGGCTGCCCTGCTGAAGACAAAGCCTCCCGGCCATGGTGGGTGCCCTTCAGTAGGAATAAAGTGAAAACACATAGTGATGTCTTTTGAAATTAATAGCGTGTGAGTGGAGCAAAGTACATACCTGTTCAGCTGAGCTGTTGCAGCCCCTTTCCAGGGTGAGAGGAAGTATGTGTTGTCTTCTTTGCGTGCTCTGTGGGGGAAGTGTGCTGTCTAGGGGATATTAAAACTTCTCAGGAAAACTGTAATGTGGGAGAAGACTGAGAGTACCAACAGGCTCGGTCTCTTTCAGAGAGAGATTTCACTGTATAAACTGAAATTTCTACTCCAATTTTCTCATTATAGATTTGTTTGAAACAGAAATAAAGGAGTTAATTCTTGATATTAAGTACCCTGCAACCAAGAAACAAGTAAGTGTGTGTAATAAGTGAACTTTTCTACCAAGGGACTGTCATACATCACTCACTCTCTAGAAAATCTTTATTTCCATATTTCCATGTAGAAGTTTCTGTTGCCTCTTTTTAAAAAATTAAGAGATATTACTGTATATGTGGTGCATGTGTTTTATACACACATTGTTCATCTATAAACTGGGATTGAAAAGTAATAGTAACAGGTGTGTGACTACCCATACCTTGGGAAGTGGATGCTGGCAGGAGCTCTGAGGAGCCCCACTACCCTCCTCGGTCCCTCCCTGTCTCATTCCCTAGCGGATTCTGCTTCATTTCTCTGCAGCTCTTTTGGAACTTCTTGATGTGTTTCTTTTGGAACTTCTTGATGTGTTTCCAGCTTTTTAAACTTTCTATAGATGGGAACGTGCTGTATGCTGTATTCTGTGGCTTGTTTTGCAAAGCTGTTTCTGTGAGTGATGCTTTCTGAGGTGGAGCTATAGTTGTAGCCACATGAATTACACCCTGTGGCTCAGAGTTACTTATTCACTCTCCTGCCACTGAACCATCCAGATTGTTTCCAGTTTATTATTCAACCACAATGCATATTTCCTGGTGCACAGAGCTTTTCTTAAACTTATAGCTGAGAGTGGGATTTCTAGGCCGAGAGATTCTTCAGCTGTACCAGTGGGTGATATGTTGTCTTTAAAAATGGATCCTAATACATATTCCTGCCTGTACTGATGAGAGTCCCCTGTGCTCTACAGACTCAGAAGGCCAGGCCCCTCGTTGAAATAAGTAATAGTACTCTAATTCAGTTCAATTGTGACATCACCTACCTGGAAAGCACATCAGATCTCACAGGTCGAGGGGTCAGTCCTGTAAGATTTTCCCCCACTTTAGACAGTAGTCACAAACAGTAGGTTGACATCTACACTTCTGACCAATTTTGACCTCTCCTTTGTTTTAATTTGGTAATAGCTCACAGAACTCAGGGAAATTCTTATGTTGCTTATGTATTGTAATGGATATAAAGGGTACAGATAAACAGCTAGATGACAAGGCAAAGCGTGTGGGGAAGGGTGCAGAGCCTCCCTGTCCCCTCCAGGCCAGCTACCTTCCAGGAGCCTCTTCATGTTAAAGCTTCAGCAATTTGAAGGTCTATAACCCTGTCCTTGCACGTATCTATGGAGGCTTGGTAACTTAGGCATGATTGATTACATCATGAACTATTGGTGATCAACTTAACCTTCCATGCTTCTCTCTCCTTGGCTTAGGAGTGGGGCTAAAAGCTGTAACAAATCTCCTGCGTGGTTCCCCTGTTAACTAGCCCCACCCTGATACTGTCTAGGTGCCTACCTGAAACAGAACTGAAACAGATGCTCGGACTTTCCCTTAAAGATACAAAGGTCTCAGGAGTTCTCTGTCAGGAATCTGGAGCCAGACATCCAGTGCTACAATAGAACATTCTCCCAGATGTCTTGAGCAGGGGCTAGGGCATCTGTCCTAGGAGCTGAGCCAGAGACAAATATTAGAACAAACGTCACTCAGGAAATTAAAGTTAGAAGTTATAGGAGCTCTATGCCAGAGACTAGTGGGCAGAGACCAGTGTGTCTGTTTCTTATTATTTCACAGCTACATACTTGGGAGAATTTAGTGAGAAGTGATTTTTGTTGCAGTCATAAAACATATTTTGTTTTATTATAGAGCAAGAAAGTTTCTGTGACTTTTGATCCAATTTTCCATTCTACTGACTGCTAATCGGTTTTCCTTTTCCTCAGGGCAGAATCTCAGTTATTAAACATAACATGATGACAAGGTAGCCATCTGGAGAGAGAGTTAAGGGAATTGAGTAGAGAGACGCACAACCCCAAGACTTCTCACTTTGATGCCTTTGTTCTTCTTGCCTTACATCATGGAACTGCAGAGTTAGGAAACTAGCGTGGTACAGATTGTCTTCTTCAGGCTTTGGGTTTTTTTGTGGGGGGGGGTTGTCTTTCTGAGACAGGGTCTCCCTGTAGCCCCAGCTGGCCTAGAACTTGATACGTAGACCAGGCTCCTGCAGAGATCTCCCTGCCTCTGCCTCCCAAGTGCTGGATTAAAGGTGTGCACCACCACACATGGCAAACTGTTTTTTTTTTTAAAACATACTACCAAATAATGTACAAGAGTATAGATTTTATTTAAAATACTAGAAAACCAAAATTGTCTGCTGCCTTATGACACTAGAGGAAAGACAGTTCAGTAAAGGCTTTGGGAGACTGAATACAGATAGTGAGACAGTGAACCAGCCCAGTGGCCTGCGCGATTGTTGGCAGAATGGAGCAGTGTCTGTTTCAGTCCCTTTCTTTATGTCCTCTGGGTAGTTGCCTCATGTCAGAACTGACAGTTTCACCAGCCATCTGCTAAGCCCACTTTGCTCCTCAAACATGGAAGTTGTTGTGCTTTGAAATGGACATATATTTTGTGCCACGTTCATAGTTGACTTTTTAAAACTATTTTTTCTCATCAAGTAAAATCCAACTTAATATGCTGATAGGAATAGAAAGCTGTGAAGTTTAACTCTGTGTATAGCTCATGGGTGTTTCCCGGGTTGCTCAGTCAGGCAAGAGGAGGTATTTTAGAACCAGTGAGTGAAGACTTAGCTATCTGGAGGTTGGAGTGGCGAGAGTAGGTAGGTAGCGTAGACGCTGTGTAGCTGGCATGGCCTGTGGCGGCAGTCTGCCATACACATGCAGCAGGTGGCAGTGAGGCTGTCGGCTCTGCTATTGGCAGGACGGTCATGGCTGGGCTTATTCATGCACCTCCGTTGGTGAGTAGCTTTGTCTTTGTTTATTGTGCTGGGGCCTTCTCTGATCAGGCAGAGGTCTCACTATTCCATTCAAAGTCAGCTTTGTTATCTGTATGCCATCTCTCATGTGACTAAAATTCATTACACACTACTTTGATTTAACTTGAATTCTCAGGTGGGGATACTAAAGATGCAGGCATACATAGGGAAGTAAAACAGAATTGTTGCCTTGTAATCATTAGAATTACTTACTGTCTTTTTTCTAGGCTTTAGAAAGCATTTTGGCAAGTGAACGTTTACCATTTTCCTACCTTAGAAACATCACTCAAACTTTAATGGACACTTTAAAAAATCAAGGTAATAGTTATCCATTGCTCTTTCACTTCAGATTATCTAATCTCATTGTAGAACTTATGGTACCATCACATTATATTAGTGTAGAAATTTTTTAAAAAAGGTTAAAACCGTATTCAATTTTATGTCTTACAGGGTTTATATGTGTTAATTCAACACTGTGAACCTAAAAATTACAGCCAGTTTTGAAAGAGATGCATCTTTGCTCTGGAAACTGTTATTGACTATGTCAGTGCTGTTGTAATGAAATGCTTCTACTAATTATGTGGTTATTAAATGCATTCTTATTTTTTTGTTCTTTTTGAAACAGGGTCTCCCTGTAGCCCCAGCTGTCCTGGAACTCACTGTGTAGACCAGGCTGGCCTTGAACTCACAGTGATCCGCCTGCCTCTGCCTCCCAAGTGCTGGGACTACAGGTGTATGCCACCACACCCAGCTTTAAATACATTTAAAAAAATTGTAGATTAGATAGATAGATTAGATTAGATTAGATTAGATAGATAGATAGATAGATAGATAGATAAAAACTTTCCTGTTTAGCATATGTGTTTGTTTTTCAACTGAGCTCTCTGAATATATTGACTCTGTTTCTTAACTAAAAAAATTTTTGTTCCTGTCTTACTATTGTGAGGAAAGATGTCAGCATAGACTGATGAGAGCATCCACAAATGGGACAGCTGGGTCATACTCTGTCCCCTCAAGGCTTGGGGAACATTACTCAAAAGTAGGCAGAAAGATGGTTAAGAGCCAGAACTGTCTTCTAGACCTGAGGGAACCACTGCATTCATGAACTCATAGCAGCTGTGGTTGTCTGCAGAAGACTTGCACAAGATCAAGCCAGTCAGCTTTCCAGTATGGAGCTGAAAGGGGCTCACAAGCCGTCACCTCTGAGGAGCTATTGACAGTTGATGGCTTCTGGGGAAGGAGAGTCAGTTGTCTGGAAGTATGTTGGCCACTAGTAGGTTGCCCACACTCCAGTGGGTAAATGGCAGCAAAACTGGATTCAGTGGGTTATTTTTAAAAAGTGGGCATGAAGTTGGGAGAGGGTAAAGCATGGGAGGAGTTGGGGGAGAATTGGGGTGAATATGATCAAAATACTTGTATGCATGTATGAAATTCTCAATGAAAATATGATTTTAAAAATTAAATTAGAAAAACAAAACTGAGCCATAAAATAATAAAAATTTTAAAAGAGTGATGAGGAGCTGTTACCCTGACAGAGTTACAGAACATTGTGAGAGCCATGGGATAAGGGGAGGGAAGTAATCAAGGCTGAGCATGTTGTTGCGTGCACACAGGAGGCAGAGGGAGGCAGATCTCTCTGAGTTTAAGGCCAGCCAGGGCCATATAGGGAGACTATGTCTCACAAAAACAACAAACAAAAAACATGCTTTCTTGCTATCTTTGGCTTTGCTTTACCTCATGGAGAAGATGAATCGTTCCATTGAGCATAGTCTTAATGTTATTCTGACTGGAGTAATCAAAATGTTTAGTCTTTGAATTAATGTTCTATTAGTGAATATCATCTCCACTGTCTCATCCTTTTCCCTCATGAGCAGAGGCAGAACCCCCAAAACTCAGACTGTAATTAGATTTTAGTAGGCCTTAGTTTTCTGGTTGATGTTACTCTTTAAATTTGTCTGAAAAGAGTTACATTTGAAACTGGGGATTTTAACTCCATGTTCTGTTCAGCTGAGCTTGCAAAGTTGAATTCCAAATCCCTAATATCAGTTAAGTTTAATGTACAGTGGACTGAATCCATCTGCTTAGTGACTTTTTCTTAATATATTAATATATGAAGCCAACATTATATTTATTTCATTTTTATTTAATCATATTTAACCCAGGCTGTAATGGCTTTTAAAACTCTTACTAAACTCTTTCAGCATGTAATTTTGACCTTTGTTTTCATTACTGACTTCTCTTTTTTTGACTCTTTTCAATAAATATGTAAAGCTACATTTTGGTAAATAGTGAACTTAGAGCCTATGGCTTCGCAGAAACAACTATTTTTTTTAACTTTTACAAAAACTTTATTGAGAATTTCATACATGCATATAAGGTGTTTTGGTCAAATCCGTGCCCACTCCCTCCCCTCCAACATTCCCCCCTCTGAAGAAGTAACCCAAAAATCTTTTAAGGATTAGATACAAGCTCCCAAATACTTTTGACATTTTTGGCCTT